ATCCCAGGGTCCTGGGATTGAGTCCCGCATCGGGCTCCCTGCTCCTTGGGAGCCTGCTTCTCCCTCTGCTTCTCTCTCTTTCTCTCTCATGAATAAATAAATAAAATCTTTAAAAAAAAAGAAACAAGGATGTATAAAATAAACATGTTTAAATAATTAGAATGAGGTGGCTGTATAGAAGACAAAGGAAAGTGATGAATAATGGGGTAATTAATACATTAATGTGACTTATAAATCCCTTTGCTGTGTTAATACTTGCAACAATAAGCAAGTATTCTTGATTCTTGATGGTGTTAGCATGTATACAAGGGTAAAAGACAAGAAAATATACGGGGAATCTTGAAACTTAAAAAAGTTATGAAAAGACTTAAGGTAAATGGGAAAATAGTTTGACACTAAATTGTGATAGCTTAATAAATACTGTGATCTTTGGGGAGCAATTGAAACATTTTAACTAGGATGGTACCTCACTGCCATCGTATTGAATATGGAAAAGAATAGTTTGGCTGTAGTGGGACCATTATAATGGAGAGTATATTGAACAGCTCAAGCATGTCTAATAGACTCCTAAGTAACCTGGACAAGGGATGGATTTAGTAATAAGACAATGACAAATAGAGAAGAAAAGCTGACAAGTGAAAGTAAAGAGGCAGATTGAATCATTGAATTGGTGGAAGTAGCTACTGAAATTGTTTATATTTAGAAGTTTTTTTTTACATACTATGGAAATTTAAGATTATGCAAATTTACATAGGGAGGGAAGAAACCAGAAGATAAGACATTCAGGAATATGTAAAAAGCAGACAAATATAATCATAAATAGTATCTTAAGGGAGAAATCTTTAAGAATTGTGGAAAGAAATCTGTGTTTGAATTTTTCTTTTTTATAAAAGTTACTGAGATACTTATTTAAGAATTTTTAAACTAACAGGCCACCATCATGTGGGAGAGAAAATTATAGAGGTCCTTCATGCAGAGAACCAGTGTCTTCCCGGAGAGATGACTATATTTCACCAAGAGATGATGGTTCCAATACCAAAGATAGGTAAAGGAAAACACAGTATATAAACTGTTAAGTTATAGTGGATTTTGTTTTTGTTGAAGTGATATTCAGTAACAAAATTAAATATTTTAAAGTTAATAATTCAGTAAGTACATTTACAGTGTTAAACAACTACTATCTTTAGTATCAAAACATTGTTATCATCCACAGATAACCCTTAATGTTACCCCTACCTGCTTCCAGGGCCTCACAAACACCAGTCTGTGTTCTGTCTCTGGATTTACCTGTTCTGCATGGATTATACTAATGGAGTCAAACCACTGTAACATTTTGTGTCTGGCTTCTTTAGCACAAATGTTTGTAAGAAACACGCATTATAGTGTGAATTCTTACTATGGGTTTTTATATTCCTTTGTATATGCGATTAACACAGTCTGGGATATTTCCACCATATTATGTTGTGAACATTGATCTGCAAATATTTGAATACCTGTTTTCA